CTGCACGTTTGTAACGTCGCTTTTCATTGACTACTCATGACGTTTATATATTTTTATATATACGCGGCTGCTGAAGATTTATAAAGAAATCTTGCTTTATTCCTCTAAAAATGATGCTTGCTGTATTATAAATTCGTTATAAATATTACTGACCGTATATGGCCGTATATAAACGGTTGTTTGCAATAAAACCCTCGCCTAGCGGCTCGGGTTATATTTACACACAACCGTTTATATAGGGCAATATAACCTGTCAAAAATCCTTATAACTAATAATATATATGAAAAGTGAGTTGAGAAATAAGCACCAAAACAATAATTTTTAAACTACATAACTAACAAAGCGTACTTTTTAAGAAGTCATTTGTAAACAGGTATATTAAGTCAAAATAGGATACGCAGATGGTAGGCATAACATCATGTATAATACATTCAATTTATAAAAGAAGACTAATTTAACCTTCCTACCATTTTGCTGATATTGACATATATATTTAAATGTATACATTATGTGACTTTTACCTTTAATATCGAACTCTCCGTCTAAATGTTCTTGAATGTATGATGGTGACAGACTCAACTGATAAACTCCCAGTGTCAACTCACTCAATTATTCACTGTTTAAAACTGGGAAATATATGTCTTCCTCATCAACATTCTTCCACATTGTCTGTTTTCTATCTAAACCTGTCTTCTTTACTTTTTTCTGAAGCTCGATTTCCCTTTCTAACAGTCTTATCATTTTTGCTGCCATAGCAACATCACTCTCTGACTGGTCAGTGCTACTGAGTGGGGGAAAGTATTTGTTCGAGATGGAACAAACAATACGTACAAAGTCGCCAATGAATGGTATTTGGCTATTTGGCATCACATTGTCTAAGTACTTGAAACGCTTGATCCGCGCGTTTGCTGACTCAACAACCCACCTTATCTGAAAATAGACACAAAAATGAAAAAGGTCATATACCTTAATAAATTAAAATTAGATTAATTTATACTTTGCATTTCACACGAAGAAGCCATTGTAAATTATCCTTATTATTGACAGATTAATTCACTGTTTAATTACATTTGTAATTCACTTTTAATATAAAGTAACAGTTATTTTTATTAATATTCGATTGCAATAGAAAAAAGGAACATATCACATTTTAATACAATTCAGTGTAATTTCATGGATAAATTGCATTAATATTTACCAGTTTTGAAAACAATATTCAAACTCACATTTCATTTTCATCCATATACAGTTAAACCTGTGTTAGAAATTAACATCAAATAAAAATCACCCTGAAATTAAAGGCTTTTACAACCTCTAGTGGTTAAAAAAGCTGAGTTACCTCTACATAACGACAACTCGTCTATAAAGGCCATGTCTCTCTCTGGATAGTTTTTGTTCACATGTTTGACCGTATACATTTACATTTCGAAATATATTACATATTTCAGGGATATTTATATAATAGTATGTACATAATTCACTTGTATTTAAAAGTATTTAATAGTCAATAACTTACCTTAGTGACTAAACGACTTCCGTTTGCTTCATCAGATTGAAGCTGCTTCTGTCCCTTTGTCATTAATGCTGGCATCTTAGCATGTATGCCTAAGTCTTCAAGTAGCTCTAAAGAATCCCTGACCCCGCGATCCACTACCAGCACATCTCCTTCTTCAAGGAAATCCTCCACATCATCTATGTTTGTCTTGAGGATGTGGTTAAGGATGGCTGCATCATTGTTCTTTCCATCAGCAAGGTAGGGACCAATTATATTTAAGAAATGTCCAGTGGTTGTAACAATGACCATTGGCTTAACGAGAGGTCGACCTTTGTGAAGACTGTGTGTTCTTCTTTGAAACTTGTAATTGTTTGTTCGATTTATTGATGTAAATGTATGTGCCATGAAGAACCAAAACAATTTTATCAGAAGAAGAACAAAATAGGGATTTAGCTGTCTTGTATGGTTGCATAGTATTGATTCCCTTGTCACACTCTCAAATCCAAGGTAGAGCGGCACGAAACTTCTCATCAGGGCCTCTCTTACAGTGACAATGGCACGTCTAACACTTGACTTTGAAAGGCTGAAGATAGTTGAAAGAAGACTGTTAGAAATGCCTGACTTTGACTTAAGGAGAAACAGTCCAACAGTTGTTCTAGGTGATCGTGACGGTGTTGATTTTATCTTATCATTGATGTGTGAGAAGAGATCATTAAATAATGGTTTTGAAAGTCCTGTAAGTGAAGAGTAGTCTGCTTCTTGAAGAGTGTCAAAGTTCAGGGAAGAATTATGTTGAATGCATAAAGATCGCATATTTTGAAGGAGATTAGAAATAGATGACCTGTTCAGATAAGAAAATGCGTTGAGGTGATCAATGCCTTCCACAGAATCTATCTTTAGTGTTTTATCTGAAACGTGTACTGGACAACATCTGGCATCTGAATGAACTATGATATTGTGCTGTAGAAATGCTTGAAGTCGACACTCTGAACCCAGGCGAACAAGTTTTGGACCAGCTTTTTTGCAGATAAAACATCTTGAATGGCTCCTGCTTGTTGATGGGATTTTAAGAACTACCTAAAATAGTAAATTATTTTAATATTTACCTCTAGCCTGCTGTCTGCAACAGAATCTACCCATGCGACAAGTGCAGACCAAGATCAACCGGCACATCCATGTCGCCCGATCATGGTCTGCACTGTTCGCTATTCATTCAGATAATATTTTAATGTTCCCCCCCCCCCAAAATGATCAATGGTTTTTGTAGAATTCAGGGGTCAATAAGGTTCTAAGGGGATTGTACATTCGTTTTACTCTGAATCGAGAAACACGTGTTGTTGTTGTTGTACTGGTTTTTATTATATAGGCACATGACCACTATATTTTAAGGTAACAACATTAGGTTACAAAACACTAAATCAATTACAACAGTGAATACCTAACATACCCCCATACTTATTTAACAGTTATCATTTACTGCTTGATAAATGTCACTCTTGTTAATTAACTGAAAGTAAGTGTTCAATAGTTCTAACCAAATTAACACTGTATCATTTGTATAAACACATGTGCTTAACTTTGTAAAAGTAACAGAACTCTATAACAATTACAGCAAAAATTACAAAATTAGGTACAACACTAAAAGAAAAAAACGTTTAAAACAAAAGCTTTGATTGTATAATCATTGTTATCCAGAAAACTTAAGTAGCAACTAAATATATGTATTCACTAAAGATCAGTATCTCCAATAGACTTCAGTACAAAACTTTCTTTTTACTAAATGTACACCATTTTTTATGAACATTAAACTTGATTAAAATAAAAATATCTGCTGACATGATTCTTTCATTAGCACACAATTCACACTTAGGGGATTATTATGCCCCTTTAACACTGATTTGATTCAAAAATTTAACTAATCAAGTTTCTTTATTGTGCGACTTGAACGTCGAAGTTCAGGAACAGGCAGATTTGCAGAAGTTTCAGGAACAACTGGTATCTTTGTTGGTTGCTTAACAACTTCAGCCGGAATCTCAGATGGTCGTTCAGTAACTACCAAATTAGGATCTTGTTAATGTAACCTTGACGGATAAACATCAGCTGGTCGAATCTGATCTGCGTGTCGTTTCCATGATACACCAGGACTAATTCCTACTCTATATCAGACCGGACCAGTTTGCGTTTTAATTACTCCTGGAATCCATTTTTCATACTTTTCACGATAATCACGTATCATAACAGTATCCTCCACTAAATAATTTCTATCAGATGTAGATCTTACCATTTTCGATTGCGCTTTCTCAACCCGATTTTGTAAACTTGGTCTGAATTTATCGAAAAGAGTAGTAAGTGTACGCCCAAACATCAGTTTTGCAGGTGTCTCCTTTGTTGTGCTATGCTCACTTTTTCTATACTGCATTAAAAATCTAGATAATTTTGTCTGTAAAGTTCCAGGGTCATTTTTAGAAGCTTTTAATGCTTGTTTAAATGTTTGCTCAAATCGCTCCGCCAATCCATTTGTTTTTGGATGATATGGTGCTCCTCTAATATGTTTAACACCATTCTGACTTAAGAATTTCTGAAATTCATCACTAATGAACTGAGGTCCATTGTCGCTCACTAGTTCATCGCAAATACCAAAATCTGCAAATATTGATCGCAAAATCTCTATTGTCTTCGAAGTGGTTGTTGTTTGCATAATTTTAACTATTGGCCACTTTGAATAAGCGTCGACTAACACAAAAAACATGTATCCCATAAATGGACCTGCGAAATCAACATGAACTCGAGACCATGGTCTACTAGGATATTCCCACGGATGTATTGGTGCTTCCGGTGGACTGGACTTTGACATCATGCACCCAGAACATGACTGTGCGATGCTCTCTAGATCAGTGTCTATTCCGGGCCAATACACATAGCTACGAGCAAGGGACTTCATTTTAACTATACCAACATGTCCAACATGTAGCTCATTAAGAACAGCTTGTCTTAATGTTTGTGGAATGACTAATCGTATACCCCACATTAGGCAACCTTGGTATACAGAAAGTTCTTTGAATCTAGTTTTGTAAGGTTCATACACTCTTGACATTTCACTTATTTCATGTCCTTTGATTACATGTTCATACACTTTTGACAGAACTAAGTCTCTTTGTGTTGCTAAAGCAACTTGATTGCTTGTAATAGGTAATTTATCAAACTGGTGACTGTAAAATATGTCAGTTTCATCTAACTGATGACTTTCAACATACTGCAATGGCAATCTAGATAATCCGTCACAGTTACCGTGATGCTTTGTGTACTTATACTGAATTTCAAAACGGTATCCGCTGAGAAATAAGGCATATCGTTGCAGTCGAGCAGCTGTAGTCGAACAAATGCCTTTCTTCGGACCAAAAATCGACAAGAGAGGTTTATTATCCGTAATCAACAGAAACTCTCGACCAAATACATATGGATGAAATTTCTTAATTCCCCAAACTATCGATAAGCCCTCTTTATCTATTTGACTATAGTTTCTCTCGCGGATGAGAGACTACGAGACGCAAAGGCAATTGGTCGTTCTGTTCCATTCGGCAGTCTATGACTTAGTACGGCACCAAGTCCAAAAGAACTCGCGTCACAAGCTAAAATAACTGGCAAGTCTGGATCATAATTGACCAAAACAAGATCTGACGTGATCATTTTCTTGACTGTCTGAACTGCCTTATCACAATCACTTGTCCATTTCCAACGTGCATTTTTCTGTAGTAATTGGTGTAATGGATGTAGTATTGTTGAGAGATTTTCAAGGAATTTGGCATAATACTGTACTAGACCTAAAAATGATCTCAGATCTTTCACATTCTTAATTTCAGGTGCATTTACAATTGCAGCAATTTTTGCATCTGTCTTGTGGAGTCCATCCGCATCAATTTCATGCCCACAAAATTCAACTTTTGGCTCCATAAACTTACATTTCTCTACATTTACGCGAAGACCATACTCGTCTAACCTCTTTAATACTTGTTCAAGGATTTCAAGATGTTCCTTGTCATCAGATCCCGTTATGATCATATCATCAAGAATAACTTGAACATTAGGAATGTCTTCCATGATCTGCTCAATTAACCGTTGAAATATAGCTGGCGCGGAGGCCACACCGAATACAAGACGGTTGTACCGGAATAAACCTTTATGAATTGATATCTTTAAGAGCTTCTTACTTTCATCATCAACTTCAAGTTGCAAGTACGCGTTTTTTAAGACAATTTTAGAGAATTTCTTGCCTTTCCCTAGAGATGCGAAGATATGTTCAATTTGTGGAAGAGGATGCTGGTCGACTTCTAAGACTGGATTTATGGTGACTTTAAAATCACCACATATCCTAATGTCCACATTTGACTTAGGAACTGGTACTATAGGAGTAGCCCATTCACTGTGAGTAACTTTTTCAACACCTTCACTTACTAAACGTTCTAACTCAGCTTCAATTTTAGGCTTTACTGCAAATGCCACAGTCCTAGCTCTAATAAATTTTGGATTTGAATTCGGCTTCAGTTTTAAAGTAGCTTTGTAGCCAGTTACTTTGCCTAAAGAACTTTTGAAAACATTTGCATATTTAGACTTCAAATTTTTAACTTTTTCATTGACATCAATACTATTCACTTCTGAATTGAGTGACTTTATTTCATGCCAATTCAACTGTAACCTCCGTAACCACTCGCGTCCGAACAACGGTCTACTACCATGTTCCACTACATACAAGTTCAACATTTCACATTGCCAATTTTGTTCTACTGTACATTTCATGCATCCAACTGGTTTCAACACTTCCCCAGAATAGGTTTTCAGTTGTATATCAGTTTTTTCCAATTCCGCACTTGGCCAGAGTCTAAAACAATCCTCCTTAGATATAACCGACACACCCGAACCTGTGTCTAGTTCCATTTTCAAGATTTGTCCATTCACAGTAGGAGTTACCCAGATAACTTTCTTATAATTTCCCTGATCATCGTGATCCATTTGAAATAAGCAATGTCCAAGATCTAAATCATCTTCCTCTATACCATGAACTTGCCCTTTTTTATTTTTACTTTTATGTCCTTTTTGCTTTTTCGAAACATTGTCAAACTTGTTTGTCCTACATGCAGGCGAAATATGTCCCTTTTTACCACAAAAGTTACCGATTGCATCTTTAAAACGACAAGCATCAGGGGTGTGGTTTTTACGATTACATCTGTAACATTCCCTTTGAACCAGGTCCTTTTTTATTTGTACAGGTTTCTTGTTAAAACTAGATGCCACTTTATGCATAGATGCAGCGCCGCCTGCTGTTTGATGCAACTCTTTAATGTCCTTTTGTGCACATTCCATAGAGATAGATAACTGAAGAACCCTCTCGTACGTTAAATCTTTCTCACTCAAGAGTCGTTTCTGAATATTTACATTTGTCAACCCACAAACTAGTCTATCTCGAAGTGCATCATTTAATCCCTCTCCAAATTTACAATGTTGTGAAAGCTTTCGTAAATTCACATTAAAATCACTAATACTTTCGTCCGCCCTTTGGTCGCGCTTCCAGAAACGGAACCTTTCAGCAATAACAAGTGGAGCAGGATTGAAGTGGCTCGATAATAGTGTTGTTAACTCAGCGTATGATTTGTCCTTTGGTAAAGCTGGAGATGTCAAATCTCTCAAAGTTGAGTAAGTTTTTGACCCTACCAGGGCCAGGAGAGCTGGTACCCTTTTGTCATCAGCAACATCATTAATTATGAAATATTGATCTAGTCTTTCCATATAACAAGTCCAGGATTCGCCACTAAAGTCGAATGGATCAATTTTGCCAATTAAGGATGTCATGATTTCGGATAATCAATTTCGGATACAACAAAGTTCAGTTATTTCGTTGCATATAATGTTCTTAGAACCACAAAACCATTTAGCAGATAATTTGCTATAACGTTTTCCTCGTCGCCACTGTAGAATTCAGGGGTCAATAAGGTTCTAAGGGGATTGTACATTCGTTTTACTCTGAATCGAGAAACACGTGTTGTTGTTGTTGTACTAGTTTTTATTATATAGGCACATGACCACTATATTTTTAGGTAACAACATTAGGTTACAAAACACTAAATCAATTACAACAGTGAATACCTAACAGTTTTGTCCAGATTTAAAGATGGACAAGTCCATTTGAAATGTTTAGCGTGGTAAGGGTTAATCGCCAATTCTACAAAACCACCAAGATCTATCATAAATGAAAGTTTACATATTTAATGAAGTTACAATGAAAGAACACAAATTGTCCCAAACTTACTGTCATTTGTTTTAAATAAATATTACGTACATCATGTTTAATATTTAAATAATACTTTTTTATTTGTAGAAAAAAATCATATAGGTTGATTAATTCTTATCTAATGTTTACAAAATTATAATGCAATTTATTACAAAAATAAACTTACCGATGGATGACTGATAAGCTGACTTGTTGATGGCTGTGGCACACTGACTGTATCTTTAATTTTCTTCTGCCTACTCCTGTAAAGTTTTGTCCGGCATGAAGGGCATATTACGTCATCATCACAGGGAAGAACAGATAGAACCTTTCTTAGTAACTTTTTTGCTTTGTCAGGAATGGGACGTCTTCCAGAAGGTTTAATTCTTTTTTTACAGACAACGCATTCATATTGTTTAACCATCCTGAAAAAAAAAATTATTCAAGTCTTGTTTATTTTGAAGGGATTTTCATACTTATGAGTTATCCTGGTTGTACTATCTACCGGGAGTGTAAGCCTTATTAGGCCCACCATCATATAATACAGAAAAAATCTAGGATAAAATAGTTATTTTCTGTAGAAGGTACCATTTTTTGATGTAAATAACAATCATTCAAAAGAAAATTTAACTATACATCAAAAAGATTAATAACCTCATATGAGTGGCAACCATCTGTGTTTTTAAGTACTTAATACCAGGAATGACTTTTAAGCAATCAATAAAAAGTTAAAAACATATGTAAATGGTCTATTACTGTTAGTGATACTAAAGTTCTATTCTATATTTATCAGATATCACACAGTAAAAGGGTAACAATTTGATAAGCATTGCACACACATTCAAAATATAATGTTGGGTCCAAATCGTTAGCAGTATTACTGGTTTTTATACTTAAAACACATTTATGTGAATAGGGTTATTAAAACTTTTAATTTTCTTCAAAAAATGCTATATTTTGTATGAAATTAATGTGAAAAACACTTGCATACAAAAGAAAGTTTTTATGTAAGTATTGTTAGTAATATCGAGACATTCCCGGTACAAAGTACCTCCCGGTATAAAGTACCTTGAGGATATATTGTTCCATATAATTTAAAACATTTCTATAATATATATATATATATATATATATATATATATATATATATATATATATATATATATATATATCTTATAAAAAAAAATATTTTTGCAAAAAAAAAATGTCGATGATTGGATTCAAACCCAGATCTCCCGTGTGTGAATCCATCGCTTCTTCCTCTTTCCCACGGCGGCATTCACAGCGGAACAGTTTTATCGATATAAAATTAATCGAGTAAGAAATTTTTAATGCAGACGATCACAATTTATTACATTTACATAATTTAATTGATGGAAACTTACTATTTACATATGTATACAATTTCTGCTTTTTACTATAACTGTTTCTAAATATACAATCTACTAAAGGACGGTTCTATGCTAAAATCCACCGTCGTTGATGCTAGCCTCGTTGTACCATCTCTCGAACAATAATTTCACTTAACTGTAATTATTTTTAGGGTGTTAAGTGTCTTTAAAATTAGTAAAGTTCTTGATTGTAGAGGCATGTATTGTGTCCGTTTTGACCTACTTAAAATTTGTCAACATGACCTTTAAAAATGGCTGCCGTGAACTCATTGGGGTGCTTGATTAGTAGGACAAAGCTGACCCCTTGCTACCTATTATCGAACCAAGTTATTTATAGTGTACGAATAACTTGTAGAAAGAGGAGACCATTTATACTGAAACTATGAGCATTAATTAAATTTTCTTCTGTAACATAGAACAAAGCAAACACATTTTCATTTATTTTCATGTCTTGTCACATTCCTGGAGAATTCATCTGGCTTTTTAAATACAACAGCTTCACAAATCACAAGCAGCTTTACTTATATCAACCAAAATTTGATTATTCCTTTTCAACATTGATAATGGTATCAATTGCATATTGAGAACAGTAGAAGAAATATATTTAGTGGTGTTCAACTTGATTTATCTTGTTCGATTAAGTATTTGATTGAACAAAACAATAAACCAAGAAACTAGGTCAACGTTGACAGTTCATAAAACAAATCAAAAATACAGGAAAATTACGCTCATATTTTCTTGAAAGTTGGGTTCATAAAGTATTCTTATTGTTCTGACTTATTCCACAAATCTACATTAGTAAAGTGGTAACTTTACAAAAATACACAATTTCAAAAATGAAAGTAGGCTGCCATTATCTTAAAATTGAACTTTCGTCTACTATTAATCTCACGAATTCGAAAACCTAGCTAAACGCCGTTTTCCGGTACTTTCTGTACATAGCTCTGGGGAATTCACCTAGTGGAGTGTAATAGCGAACTCGATGTTTTCGGCCTTTTTAAATTGAATTGAAATAAAACAGTTTTTTCTTTATAAGAAAATAATTAAATATATTTTTTTGAATAATTCCATACAAGTAAATAAACAAGTTTACGCAGAAAATAACCTTACTTATTATGGAAGATTCCACTACGTCTATTTTAAATTCATTGATTTTCATTATAAACAATTTATTTTTTGAAAAAAATGCAATAGATATTAAAGGAATATTGATAATATTCAAATACATCAATTATTTTCACCTTAAACGATAAATAATGATAGAAAAAAAGAAATATCATGTAACTGTGTTATGTAATTCATTTGGTGTTATTCCCCAGAGCTAAATCCGTAACGTACCGAAAAACGGTGTTTAGCTAGGTTTTCGAAAAGGTCAAAAAATGAAGCTGTAAATATGGAACTTTGCCAAAACAAAGCAAATGTAAGTGCTTGTCACTTTATTAAACTATTCCTTGCTGCACGACATAAATTTGATTTGCCAAATATAAAATTTATCACTTTGGTCGAGAGATGGTACCGTTCGAGAGATGGTATCAAAAGGCTATTTATATTCGACTTGTTTCTCAATCATCATTCGGCATACGATTTTTTTATTATCCAAAGTTATTTAAGATCTAAATTAAGTAAAATAAGTAATAATAAATCAGTAGAGTTTTATTGTTAGAGCATATGACATAATTTCTTTTACAGGGAAACAAATACCTGAAAAAATCGGTGTATTGCGGTCTCTATGTCGAGTTGTTTACATTACCAGCGCTGTGTTTCGTACCCACTGCAATTCGTTCCAAAACGTCGCGTAAATAAATGATAATCGTTTGTTGTTTGTTTTTTGTGATTCCAAAGGTTCGCATTCACTTTGAAATATTTCCTTTAAATGTTTTCTTATACAATTTGCCTATTAATAACGTTATTTGTTAAGAAAAGGATAGGTAATATTGGTTTTAAATCGATATGTGCCCTTTGATAAATAACAAAGGGTCTCACACTTTCTCATTTTATAATATGAGCACACGCGTGTTCCACAAAATAACTATTATTTATTTAATGATAATTGAATGACAAATCAATTTAAGCTGGAATAAAGGTGGAACAAACTTGCGCTCATACTGGGACACTGAAAAATTCCCCATCATAGCACTTAAATATTGCCATTTTGGCAAGAACAGGGTTCAAACAAAAATCATAAAAATCACTTTATACGATGATTTTTATGGGAAAAAATCAATTTCTGTATTTAATTGATGGTGTTGATTAAAAACAAAACACAAAATATAATTTCTGTAGTTTTTATTTTTCGTCAGTTTTGGGCCATTTTCGGTGGTAAGGGAACCTAGCTCAAATTTACAATGTGATAAAAGCAGTAATCCCAGCCAACATTCTATATCGGTCCGACATCAAAACGACATTGTTTTCTATGACGGCTCGATGTCGGATTTAGCCTCGGCTGCAAAGAGGAATGGTGTTGGTCTGACATCAGTAGCACAATATCGGGCCGATATCTTAACGATATAGGCTCGATATGTCTTGCCGACATCAACAATAGCGGTACGATGTCAGCCAACAATAGAAAGAAAGCAGCCTTACATCGACCAGGTATGATCCTTTTGCTAGCATGTTGATGACATCTAGCAACAAACATTTGGCAAAACCTGCAAAAACAAAAATAAAAAATAAAAATTTTACAAAAGAAGATAATATAGACGAATATATAACTTTAATGCACAAAATAAATGACAATCACTACCATGATAATGCATGTCGCGAAATCATGACTGTGTCAAATATTTTCAAACATAATTCTTCATTTACAAAAGAGACAAACAGATAAATCATATTTTTCCAATAACTTAAAGTGTAAAAATCAAATTGTTTACAGAGTTTTCACATTTGTTGAATCATCATTACATTTTAAAAAACATGCTTTTCATCACCTTCCTTTGTTAGCTTTTTTTTTGGCGCTTAATCTGTTAATTGTAGGACTGCAGTGAATATTTGCAAGCTAAATCAACTATAATTATTTAAGAAAATCATATCAAAATGTACAATCATTTCCTGCATGATAACCAATTCAACAGAGAACGCAATATCATACCAATGCCAAATCGATATACAAAATAGTTACATTGATAGATCTTGTAGGCCCGACGCATTTTGATGTAACACGAAATGTGCTGAGTGTGGTTCTAAAAATA